TAGCCTGAGGAAAACAGAAATACTCCCATCTAAAAAGTGAAAACAAAAGCAAAAAATAGATATGACTCCTTGAGAGATATTAAACTGAATCTATGTACCAGTAACACTGTAAAAAGACAGACAAACACAAACACACACACCTTAAGTCTCACAAAAAAATCCATATATATATCCTACTTTACTGATGAAAACACTGAGGTTCAGAGAGGTTAAATAGCTTATATAAATTATTAAGCCAGAAAGTTATTAGCCAGATAGTGAGTGGCTAAACCAAGAAGAGAATCCAAGTCTACCAATTGCAGATTCCCATCCCTTTCTGCTAAATGTATCACACTGTCAACAATTTCTTTTTTCCCTAATGCACTTTTTTCCCATTTTATTCAAAAAGCATTTAATTGAATTTCTCAATGTTTTTCAAAAATAAAAAAGTCCAAATCAGAGGTAAAAAGGAACATGAAAACTCAACTCAAGTGGCGTCACAAACTCGGGGTCATGCTCCAGGCACAGCAGAACCCAAGAAGGCACAGTACCTGCCCTGGGCCCACCCTAACCCTGGTGGCTACCACAATCAGCAGACCACAGCCACTGCACCCTGTCCCTCACCCCGAAACACCTGGGGTGGAGGCCTGAGCAGGTAAACGGCAGACACAACCCCAACCCCACCCTGGGCTAGGCCTGTCTGCTGGCCTTTAGTGCCACCCCACCCCTGCACAAGGCAGGCTTAGCTGCTAAGAGAGGCTAGGGGTCACAAGGCCATGTGACAGACAGTTTATAGCACAGCAGAATACAGAAGTGTTTCCTCATAGTTCACTCATATGTTCATGCAAAGGACAGGGTCCTGCAGCTTCCCATTTCTGTTTTAGTCTCATGCCAATTTAACTGCATTTATGGTACTAAGAAATGCAGAGCTTAGTGTTACGTGGACCTAGAGCTCCTATTCTTTCTTTGTAAAGATTTCCTTTAAGCACAGGCTTTTAAATGACTTGTGATGTACCACTTGTACTGACAAATTACCTCACATCCCAAAATAATATTTTTTTAATTAAAAAATAAATATTATTCTTCAGTACCCATAGAAAAGTATGTATTTATTTCAAAATTTTACATGCTTCTTCTTGGGGCCAAAGACAAACAAAACATAGGGCAAATAAAAGAAATAAAGATTTTTGGAAGGAGCATGGAGGAAGTCACTGGAAGAGAAGTCAAGAAATTGAAAGGGCAAAGCATTATCAGTGTCATCTATAGATATGGTAATCATCCAGAACAGTGGCAGGTATAGCATCATGGAGCCATCAGTGAGCCATTTATATGAAATAAGGGGTGAAACCTCGAGTGGGGATAGCAACAAGGAGGTGGAACAGTGCAGTCTGCTCTCAAGAGCTTTATAGGTGGGCTTTTTAAGAAGGAGGAAGGAAACACTCCGGGAGCAGCAAAAAGCCATAAGCAAAGCATCTATTCCAACTTTAGACCTAGATGTAAGAGGAGTGTGAGAAAGAAAATAGTCGTTACTTGTATGGGTTGCAGGGGAAACAAAGTCTTTTAGATTTCACTCAGAAAACAAAATATTTGAGAAATCAACAAACTTTGACATATAAATTCATATGTTACCTCATTTTTTAAAAAAAAGACACCTACTAAGGATACCAGATACACATAGAAAATAGTCTATGACTATCAGGTAGTAATTACGGCTATCTTTTAACTCCTATGTAGCATCAATCATCCATTACTGAAAATCAGATATTCTATATGAAATGTTAAACCACTTTCCAATATTTAGAATAAAAAAATTGCAATTCACTTATGTCAATTCAAAATGGGGCTGGAGGTATAGTCATGGGTTCAATTCCCAGCATAAAAAAGATTAAACAAGTACTTATGATATACTAAAACACAGTCAAGCACCTATAAAAAAGGAATAAACTCACAGGTTAGGATAAAAAATATTTAAAATACCACTCCCTGATCAAAAACAATTTCTATGGTTGTTATCAGCAGCCATATGTGGTAATATATATCCTCTTCATTAACAGTTGGTGCAACTTTCAAATTGTCTACATGTGACTCTGACATTCTACCATTCTGACATTAACTACAACTTAACACAGGCTTCCTATGCATCATTTTGTTTAAAATGTAGTTGAGTTCTGGAACACAAATACAAATTTTTTTTTCTTATACAACAATCTGTCAAAACACACTGAATTGGGGCCAGGAATTTAGCCCAGTGGCACCGCGCCTGCCTTGCAAGTGCAAAGTCGTGAATTCGATCCCCAGTACCAAAAACAAAAACAAAACAAAACAAAAAAACATACTGAATCGAACAGTAAGTAATTTGGAGATATTTGAATGTTAAATAGCAAGACACTTTCTAACAGGAAAAACATGAATTGCGAAATCATTCTGTGGATTCTACATTATATTACATTTGTTCAGTTGGATTGAATGGCAGCTTTAGTGTGTAAAATTAGGCACATTAACTATACCTTCTAAACATCAGAATTCTGATATTCAACATAGGAAAGTGAGTATTCTCCTCAAGGAAGTTTCTGTGAAGATTACATGAACTGAATTAAGTAGTTAGCAAATGCCCTAGAATATAATTCATGCTTAATAATTATTATTTTATTCGTCATTTTCTCTGTTCCTATTATTTTTATTAACTATTAACTATTAATATATTTTGTTAACTATTGAGCAATTTCAGCTTACAAAGAATTATATATATACATTATCTTGTTGGATCCTTAACTCATAACAACTCTATGTAAGAGAAAAACAGGCAAGGATTAGTTCCACTTCACAAATAAAAAGACAAGTACTTAAAAGAAATGACTTGTTGGGGCTGGGGATTTAGCTCAACTGCACCACGCCTGCCTGGCAAGCACAAGGTCCTGAGTTTGATCCCTGGTACCAAAAAGAAAAAAAAGAAATGACTTGTCCAAAGTTACTTAACATTATCCACCATGACTAGATATAAACCATCACATAAAATAAGAGTAGACAAACTTTTTCTTAAAAGACCAGACTGCAGCAAGCTCAAGGACCCAAGTTCGATCCCTGTACCAAAAAAAAAAAAAAAAAAAAGACCAGACTGCAAATATTCTAGGCTTGCAGACCATATAGACGCTGTTGCAAACTAGTCAACTTGCTGTTATAGCACAAGAGCAGCCACAGACAATGCAAAAACAAATGGGTGGGGATATATTCCAGTAAAACTTTATTTATGAACACAAGAAGTAGAATGGTTTTGGCTCAGGGCCATGAATAGCAGACTTATGCCTAGACATTTAGATTACTATTCCAAAGTATTTTTCTACTACCTTGTAGTTACTACCTATTTTCAGAATAACATTTTAGCTTTAAACTTTTTAATAACATTAACTGTCAGAGAAAAGAGAAAGCAGAAACAATTTGTAAAAGAACTATGAAAATGGTAAGATATCACATAAATATTATTGACTGTCCTTCCCTCTTCCAACTTCTAAAATTTTTAATCCTTTCTTTATTTCTTTCTCCTTTACCCAGCCAGTTGGCCTACAAGTAAACACTTTCCTCTTTCTCCCAAAGTACAGAAGGCATATATGTTTGCAGAATCTTACTCTAAAGGATGTGGTGGACATTTCATGAAATACCAGAATAAGCAAATTTATCAATAGCTTGTTTTTTAAAGTGGTTGGAATGTGAAACTTCTGAATATAACTTGGATGGTTTTATTTTGTTTTGTTGTTTCTTCATTTTTTGGTTTTTGGTGCTGGAAATTGAACTCAAGGCCTTTGCACAAAGTTAAATTGCTAGTCCTTTTTTTATTCTGAGCCAGGATCTTGCTTGAGCCCAGGGTGAGCTCAAAATTTCAATCCTCCAGTCTCGGCCTTCCAGAGAGCTGGGATTGCAGGCATGTGCTACCTTGCCCAGCTTTTTTGTTTTGGAGAGCGGGGCAGTGGGTGGAGAATACAATGGTAGGCAACTACTATATTCTCAGTCTTAAAGAACACAGTGATTATCAGGCTGAAGCAGGAGGATCACAAGTCTGAAGCTAGCCTAGACTACATAGTGAGACTCTGTCTCAAAAAAAGAAAATCTCATTAAAGCCAATGATATTCCTTTAAAATTAAAGCAAACCAGAATTTTTGAGTGATATATGCTAGGCATTTTATATAAATACAATTCATTTAACCTTCACAATAACCCTGAAAAGAAACTGAATCAGTAAAATGAAATGCCTTGCCCAGGCACAGAGCTCCTAAGTGCCAGCAGAACTTGGATTCATATCTAAGTTACACTGATTCTAAAGTTTATGTTCTTTCATTACATAATATTGCCTCTTCATCTTTTTAACTCAGGGTCCACAAAAAGCTGAGTGTCTTATACCAAGTCAAAGAATACTTACTTTCAGTACAATAGAAGTCAAATCTCAGATAATATGATCTCAGATAATATGGCATGGTTCTGCTAGATTAAGTCAACTCCAAATAACACTATTTTAAAGGTAATTTAATCTGTTTCTGGCCTCAAAATGTACTGGTAATTAGAGTGAAGCCAGGCTATTAACCACTAGTTTAAGAAAATAAATCTGACTAAGTTTAAGCCTTAGATATCCAAATCTAGAATTTTGATGAGAAAAAAGTAAACCAAGGAAAAAAATCTCCTTAAACTCTAGTCATGTTCCAATATAGAAAGAACATTTCATTAGAAATGCATGAAAGTTAGCTCTGCCAGAAAGCCGATTCCTTCTTCAATAATTTTTTTCCATAAAATTTAGGGAAACCATCACAATGCAAAATTTGTATATTGGAAATAGAGTAAATCAGTAAATTAGGACCTTTTTACTCTTCATATTAAATACAACACACAAAGTCAGGATATAAAAGTACACAAAATATTTTATAAATCTATGACCCTCCTCCCTGTTTGCTTAAACCAGGCTGGTCTTGAGAGCAGGAACCTTTTTTTCCTTGCTAAAATAAAAATGAACGTCACGTCTACCCTCCGCTGCTTACCTGTTGCAGAGTTTGCTGAGGGCTCCCTGCGGACTACAGTGACACGGCAGGCAGAGCCCAGAAGTGTGATTCATGTAAAAGCCCTCCTTGCAGGTTTCACAGTGAAGACCCTGATACCCTTGCTGACACTCACACTGCCCTGTGGTCTCATTGCAGTGCTTCACATCCAGGGTTCCAACCCTAGAGCAGTTACATAAATACTCTGAAAAATAAAAAAGGAAAGAGACATTATCAAATAGGATTTAATATTTTAACAAATGAACAATTTTATTTTCTTAATAATGTTCATTGCAAATTTGTAAGGCTAGATAAAACTAGTTCTAAAACTAGTATCTGCCTATACTGTTTATTTAAATCAGGAAATGTGTACTGTATACCATATTATGTACAGTTCATAATTATAAAGCTAACACTCTCAATTTCTTTCCTAGTACTCTTCATCTCCTATGGCTCTTACCCTACATCCCAGTGTGTGTGTGTGTGTGTGTGTGTGTGTGTGTGTGTGTGTGTGTATTACTAGTTTTTCTGGATTGGAAACTGTCAAAGGCAAGCTTATCAACATGGCACTGAAAGTACATGCTGGAAGTGACAACATAATAAATAATCCCATTGTACAGGAGCAAAGACCTAAGGCTCAGATGATTGATCTGGTAACCTATACAAGGTCATATAAGAATCACCACAGCTGGAATCATAAGGTAGCATGTTACATCTAGGAAGAAATTAATGGAGAATTGAAACTTTACAGTGAAGAAATGATAAACAATAACTCTAGAAATGAAAGTTTATAGGTTCATCCTAATCAGTGAGTAAAACCAATCATAATTTACATATTTTTCACAAATTAAAAGATTTAGAAAATAGGCACTTTTGGTATACTTTCAATAGCACTTTAGAGGAAAATAATTTATAAGCCCTTATTTTTAGCCTTCTAATGTACAGATTCATTTAAAGATGAGTTAGAATTTGGCTTTTGCTAATACTCTGCTCATTTTATCACAAGAAAAGTATTTCCAACAGTTTTACATAGTATCAACATTGGAACTTTACAAGCATGTGCAAAAAGATGTAGTTAAAATCAAAGGCAGTGAAAATAAAACTTTGTATATACTCTAGGAATCAGTCTTATTCCAAAATGGCTAAGAATTGTGGCTGAAAGAGCCCAGAGAAATCTATGGTACAAATTATACTTATGAATAGGCAAAGGCACCATACAAAATGGCATTATTCTGACAACAGTTTGTTTAGGTTGGAAAAAATAGTCTTTGATGTTAATTTTTATTATTTCAAAAAAAAGTTCCTAGGAGGCCGGGGATTTAGTTCAGTGGTTTCACCACCTGCTGAGCAAGCGCAAAGACCCAAGTTTGATCCCCGGTACAAAAAAAAAAAAAAAAAGTTCCTGGATAACAATAAAATTGGATAAATCCAATTTTACATAGAAAGTTATAAAGGAGTTTGCTTCTTTTATTCTAGAAAAGAAAATTAAGTTTCAAAATTCTTAATGTAATCACAATCAGCATCCACACAGTCATCACAAAAGATTCTACAAAGAAATTTCCACTTGGGGAATTCTAAACTTTCCATACTTTACTTCCTAACCTTTGGTGTTAGTTTATTTCCTTGCTTTTCACACTTCTTTTAGTTTATAAATATAACAAATGAATGGATATATGTTGGTAGATTGTTTATTTTATGCACATTTCAAGCAGCTCGTGGTGAATTATAAAACCCAAAGGAGAGTTCAGATTTCTTCGGTCTCAAGTTTAGGAAAATCAGCTTCTCAACACAATCAAGATTCTTGCACAGTAACTGGGGATGAAAGTGTAGCTCAGTGGCACAGCCCTTGCAAAGCATGCATGAGGCCCTGGGTTTGATTCTCAGCAAAGGAAAAGCAATTCTTATTTTTTCTAGGGTATGCAAGAGTGACATTTCTTTGACAGAGTTATATGCTTTCACATGATACCTACTTTCTGAATATAGTATATATGTGGGGTTTGTGTATATAATAAAGCAATGTTTAAGTGGTTAATAAGCATACTGAGCATACCTTCATGGCAGAACCTTTACTCCACCAAAAATTACCAGAATGTTTAAAATAAGATTTTTCTTCTGAAATTTGGCAGAAATTCAACATACATTCAACTCCTCCTGCTAGATTAATTTCATCACAAGTTAAACTGATCAAATTATGATGGTGTGGACAGAACTAGATCAAGAAAAATGTAAAGACTAAAAACACTATAAGGACCATGAATTTTATCCTATTATTCCCTTACTAATAAAGGGAAAACTTAAAATGAAAAACTGAATGATTATTCTCAATGAATGAAATATAATTAGCAATATTTTTAAAAGAATCCAATTAATCTAAGAACTCAGAGAAAAGCACTCAGTTTTTTTAAATTCAGTAAAGTTTAATGGATAAGCCTTTAGCAGTAATCAAGATCACTGGTTATTTATCATTTCTGTAGAGTAAATCCAACCTTTTCATTATATCCCAAACCTACTCTTATCAGTCCTATCTTTGAAATGCTCATTCTGTGTGCTTGGAGTTTTCTCTCTTCTTCATATATTGAAACCTACCCCGTTTCAAGAGTAAACTGAAACTCCTACCATCATAAACTCTATTACCTCTCCTGCGAAACATAATAATACCTACTACCTGCAACTCTCTTATGAGAACAATCTGAAGAGACAACAAACATGCAGCTACGAGGCAAAGACTGTAGAGGCAGAGAGCTAAAGTTCAAAATCATCTCCTCTAACTACATTTATAATCTTAGGCAAATTAGTTTCCTTGTGCTTTCATTTTCTCATCAGCAAAGATGAGATATAAATAATAATAATACCTATAATATTTAGCCCCAAATGTGAGGTTTGGAAGTACTGAAATAATTAGAATAATAGCTAGAAAAAAATGAGAAGTGATAACAGATATAATAACATAAATGTAAGTCAGATGTTAGATTCATAGACCATACATAGCCTGTTACAGCCTGTAGACAAGATCTGAAAGCCTGGGAATGGGTTTATTATTACCACGGCATCTTTGGACCATGTCTGAGAAACATAATTAGTGCTTTGCAATGCAGAAATCCAACTTGTGAGTCATTTGTGTAGAAAATAAGAGGAATATATGTATGTATGTATGTATGTACGTATGCATATATGTGGTGGGTTCTATACATTACCAATACGTATGCCTACAAATACAATGATGGATCAGGATGATTTAGCATATGGTTTCAGGGAAGTAAAATATGATGATTTACTGATTAAATACCTTTGATTATTGATTAAATACCTTTGATTTACTGATTAAATACCATCCTAACAGTAGAAGAGTGAGTGGCAAATATTTCAACGAGACCATCATAGTAGTAGGAAGAGGGCTGACATCAAGACAAAGATGCACTATCATGTTACTACTTTTTGAAAAACGGAGTCAATGACAAGGGAATGAGAGTAGTTAAGTGTCAGAGAACATATGCATCCTTTTGTTTATAACTTAGAAGCTGAGGGTCTATCCCAGGGATTGACCTCAAATGAAATGACTCAAGTTAAATAAGTAGAATGAACTACTGTAATGACTGTAAAACACTGTGAGCATTCATTAAATTATTTCAAAATAATTTGTTAGTTTGTAAGTAGAATAAACTCTCAAACTCTGCACAGCTCTGGATGTCCATGCAGAACCAGATAGGAGTTAAGGTAGAAATAATGTAACACTCTTAGTAAAAGCCTAGCACCATGAAAAAGGAAAAAGGAAATTTCAATTGGTTGAAACAACTGGAAAGACCTATATATAAGAATGAAAGGGAAAGTGCTGACTTTTAATGAGGTGGAATCTTAGACATCAGAACAGAACAAAGAAGTCTGTGACATGATTAATGGTAAGTTAACAGTGTAGATGTTAAAAGAAATGAAACAATATGAAGAGGATACCAAAAGTCAATCACAGATGATTTGAATGAAGCAAAAAAGCTCATTTAGTTGTCTATGAGTAAATATGAAATAAACTCTTCATAAAATGAGTAGCATGTTACCTTCCAATCTCCTATGATTCTTGGGAAACCTCTATAAAGAAATAATTGGAGAAGAGTAATGTAAGTGTTCACACAGAGAACACAATCTTTGGTAATGCTTTTCCTTTCTGTTGTCTGGTTTCTGAAGAACAATAAAATACGGTGATTGAACCCTGAGGAAGAAAGAAACTAAATCTGGTGCCAAACTGCTTTCAGCATTTGAAAATAGAAACATAAAAGCCTAAGGGCTTGGGGTGGCTAAGTAATGCAGTGCTTACCCACAATGTACAAGGCTACAGGATTCAAAAAAAGGAATATAAAGATACAGAGAAAGACAACAGTTCTGCTGAGAACATGAACTTATGGTAAGATTTTGATACAAAAGTATCCAAAGCAATCATTGTATCTAAATAAAACAGTATACCTTTTCAAACATTCTTTACCAAGGGTCAAGACACAAAAAAATTTTGCCACTTAAAAAAGCAGTAATTTTGCTTACAAGTCCCACAAGTCTCCCCTTTGTACAAAAACACCTGTCTTTGTAAAAGAATATAGTTTCCACTGCAACACGTTAAGAACCTTTTCTGGGCCTTTCACATACCTGGTAGCTTTTTCTCATTCTCCAACTTTTAATCATCTGTGTCCCTGCTCAGGATTTTTAGTGTGTATCTGAAGCTACTTTACACTATGATGGGAGTTTAAAAAAAAAACTAATTGCAATAATGTGTCACAGTAAATGTGTCTCCTCTATATCTCTCTTTGAAGTTCTTTCTGAGAGTTGTAATTAACTGTGCTGTCTGCAGACTCCAGAAATTTGGTACAATAGTGTGTTATCCCTTTGCAGATTAAAAAAATAATTATAAAAGCAATAAATGAAGGATTTGATGGAGAAAGTGAAAACTGTTATCTTTAGTCAACTCATGATTAAAATCTCTCAGGAAAAAAACATTAAATTGATACAGTACTGTTGCTAAGTTAAAATGATTATACAAGTATTGTGTTTGAACATAGATAATGAAAAAACACTTGCAACTATAATACACAGGAATCCAGTTCATGAGTGCCTCCTATAATTCTACTATATAGCCTCTTAAAGAGTTGCATAAACATCTCTGTAAAATCCATTTCTGATCTCTTATTCACTTACCAGTGATTTCACTCATGCTTTTCAATATCT